TACTCACAGGGGCAGCTTTTGACTACCTGGAGACCACTCCCAGGAAGTCTGTGAGGATGCTGGGGCTTGGTTTACTGAAGACTAGAAGTGCTGGTGTCCACCTGGTGGCAGCCGTCATCTAACCCCAGAGACAACTCTGGAAGAGCTACTGCAGGAAGAGCCCATAGCCCAATGAGCTACATGGAAAGCCATCGCCTTTGCCTTATTCAGTGCTCGGAAGAACCAGACATGCCTTTTTCACCTACTCTTGGGTACAGCCAGCAAGCTGCCTGGTTGGTGACAACCAACTGGTATATTAAGGACGCTCCTCTATGGGGCTATGGATAGCCGCTACTGCAGCCTCCTGAGACATTTTTGTAACCCTTGTGGATGCCATGGAAAGGACGCATATGAGGTGAGACAACATGAAACAAAGTGGGTGACTGGACCCTCCAGCCCCGGTGGCCAGCATCATTGTCTCAGTTCATTATTGGACTGGCGATGGTAATACTGCCACTAACACAATAGGCTCAAAAGTTAAGCCTCCTCTGAGTGCCACAGAGAGTAAAATGGCCTATGGGGACTGTGATCCCTCTCCGCAGTTGATCTCTCTGTGTAAAGGTGACAGGGATCCTAAGCTCTGGGGGTGGTACCTGCCCTTGTCTGGCAAATACAATACATTGGTCCTCTGCTGTCACCTGCTGGCTATCACTGGTATGCAGGGGTAATTGACAACTGTCATCATGCAGTTGCCTTTCTGTGAAGCTGGCAGATTCTGGCCACACCATAGTGGCACTGCGACTATTCTCTGCCTTGCTTAGTATCTGGTTCACTTGTAGTTAGACAATGCCACCTGTTCACAGCAATGGGGCCCCCAGTAGTGGGCTAATGGACAAAACATTCAATGCACATTTCATGTCCTTGGTCTCAGGTTGGTGGCATTTTTAAGTGGTAAGATAGACTTTGGAAGATGTGACTGAGAAAATTGCTAGACAGATGATGTTATCTGCACTGTGTCCTACACGTCTTTAGCAGACAGCGTGAGCATTACATGCAGGTGCTCCTCAGAGGAAGCTTTCCCCTTCGGAGGAGATGTTTGGAGAAAATCAGGACAGAAGAGGCAGGATTCAGGGAGATCGGTTCTCTATGTCCATGATTTCACCATGAAATCTCTCAACCAATGCTCTTTTTCTTTTTTAAAAAACATAATTGACCCTACTACCTTGGATGCCTCACTAGTTTAATCATTAGGCGACACCATCAGTGACAACACAAAAAGGGTGACTCCAATCTGTTGCTTCTATCACCACCTGGTTTGGGTTATTGAATATGGAAGATCATATGATTAATTGCTAGAATTTGTGGGCCCTAATGAACTCTTTCAGTGGCCCAGTTCTACTACTGTGCCCAGCCCTCATGATTGGTGGCTCATCGGTGAGAAAGGCCTGGGTGTGGGTGAGTACTTCATTAATAAAGATGGATATAGCAGTTACTGAATTAGAGCAAACAGATTATGTCACTGTTGAAGGAAAGGAGCACTCCCAGTACTAGGGAGAAACCACCTTTTACCTTTCGGTATATAAACCAATTTCAGTTTATTTTTTGTATCAAGTAATAGTATTCACATTTTTCTTACAGATGTGCTGTTATTTCAGTATCTTTTGGTGAAAATAATTTCCTTTTCTTTTTTTAAATTTTTTTAAAAATTCAAATAAAATACATATATCATTAAATATGCCATCTTAGCCATTTTAAGTGTACAGTTCAGTAGCATTAATTACATTTGTTATGCAACCATCACTGCTATCCACTTCAAGAACTCTTTTAATCTTTGAAACTAAAGCTCTATAAACATTAAACCAACTTCCCATTCTCACCTCACCATAGTCTCTGGCAGCCAACATTCTACTTTGAGTATATCTATGATTTTTGGCCGGTCTAGGTACCCCGTATCAGTGGAATCATGCAGTATTTGTCTTTTGTGACTGGTTTATTTTATCTAGCATAATGTACTCATGGTTCATCCATGTTGCAGCATGTGTCAGAATTATCTGCTTTAAGATTTAATAAAGCCTTTCCTTTTAGGATGACTGAAATATTGCTTGGCCAATGTTACTGTTCACAGAACACATGGACATGTTAAAATACACATTTCTGGGCCTCACCCCAGTTACTCTGGTTCAGTTTGTCTGATGTGGGGCCTGAGAATTAGGTTTTTTTTTTTTTTTTTTTTTTTTTTG